TTAAACAAACAACAGTTCAGGAAAATATGAAGAACCTGCAAAGGATGACAAAGAAAATCTCAAGTAGGCAAAATTGAAGTACAAGAGAAAGCTAGAAAGAAATTTAAAGCAGACAATACAATCATCATTTGGAACATTTAGAAAAATGGAGAGAGTAGCTAAGTTAAGCATTGGTTCCATAGCGAGACTAATTTCTCCCAGTCTGTACAAAAGCACTCCAAAACACCACACAATGACAAGCCAGAAGGACGCAGGAAACCACCACAATCACTCAAGAAAAAGCTCTGAGAAAACTAATGGGACTAAAGGCTCTCAGATGCCCTAGTCCTGCATCCTAAAATCCTGAATGAAGTGGCTGCAAAGATGAGGATGTGTGACTATAAACCTCCAAAAGTTCCCTAGACTTTAGAAAGATCCGAGCAGAATGGAAACCTGCAAATGTAATACAACTATTAGAAAAGGACGGAGACAAAAAGCAGGTTTCTATTGGCCAGAAATTGCTAAAATCTATTACTAAGGTGGTAGTAGAAGGACATTTAGACAATCATAGTTCAATCCACCCGAGTCAACATATATTTGTGAAAGGGAAATTTTGTTCGATTGTTAGAATTCTTTGAGGATGTATCAAGCAAGGTGTGTAAAGGGGAACCAGTTGATGTGGTGTATTTATATTTCCTTAAAGCAATCAACAAAGTGTCACATAAAGAAAATACTGCAAAAGGTAATGGTAATGTCATGGTAATGGGGTGATGAAAGCCTAGAGGATCAGTTAACAAGCTGGAAACAGAGCCAGGAAAAACAGATCACTGTCGAAATGACAAATTGGAATACTGTAGGATCAATCCTTACTAAACGTTAACTCCACTTAATGTTATGAAGTTCACCGCAACCATTGTTTGTTATGACTTCTTGTCTGGTGGCCTGTGCATCCTACACGCACACAAGGTTTTCCAGCACTGTTAGAATCAGTGCACCTCTTTCCTTTGCTCCCACTCGCAGTCTTGAGGGCTATCTTACTCCAAATGGAACACTGGCCTTTATCACAAGGGTAATGGACAATAAAAGTAGGGAAGTCTCACTTCAACCGTGCTGGGAATCGAGAGTCTATACTTTTGAGTACTGCGTACAATTTTCATCACCTTCCTGAAGGAGGGCTATACTTGCATTGGGAAAAAGTCAAAGAAGGATCATGAGGCTGATTCCTGGAATAAGGGTACTGGGATCCAACAAGAAAATAAAGTTAAGGCTACAATCAGATCAGTCATTATCTTATCAAATGAGAAGCAGTCTCAATGCATCAAATCCTACTCCTATTTATGATCTTATTAGGAACTGAATTGATGACCGTAGGAGCGAACCTAAGATAATCAAGTTATCCATGAGACACTGAGATTCTATTGGGTCGAAAGGAAAGCATCATCTTCATTAAAATCAGGTCAGAGTTGAACAGTGAAGACGCGAAGATCGTTTAAAAACTTGAATCTTAAAAATTTAAAAAACTCGAGAGGCAGAGAGCATTTATTTAAAAAAGATAAATGCACAAAGTTATCTCATTCAGAGAGTCCATTATAGGTTAGATTCTTTGTGGTTTGTGCAAGGCAGTGGGATGATAGGCCAAGTAGGCTTTTCCTATTGCATTCATTTTTCATATCCCAAATTCCTATAAGTCAAAACATTTTAGATTTCAAGTTAGAATTTAAAATGTCCAGCTTCCATGCTAGAAGCATGATGGAATTTTACTAGAATTAAACAGTAATGGGTTATGCCACTAGCACTTTGTGTTCTTATTTCAGATTTCCAACATGCATGGTATTTTACTTCTGTGATATTCTGCTGTGTTCAATTCTGCTGCTTTCCAATCATTTTTAACCATTTATGATGAACGCTATGGATTGTGCTTGTAAATAAAGAACAAACTTTTAACATTGTTTCCATTGAACCACACGATTCCAACAATTAGCAGCAGGTTTGCAGCTTTCTGCTGGTAACCTTCTCGTTGTTGGCATTACGCACTATAGTATACAAGAGATGCTGTGAGCTGAGATTTTTCTTGGCCTTTGCATTTGATACTTCAATCATTCTTTACGTTTTGTTGCTTTTTTTGAATACTTGGAGCAGAGTATAGAAAACTTAAAATTATGAATGGGCCTAAGATCAAAGTGATCCATTGCAGTACCGAGTTCAGCAAATTCTAAATTCCCACTGACTGTGTCAAATTTCTCCTTATTATGCTATCATTGATAAATGGGCTCAGAAAGTCTGATACAGAGAAAATCACACTCACCAAGTGAGACATGAAAATCTGCATCTGATCAGTTACAGTTGAGATGGGAGGATTGAGCATGAAAGTGGCCAAACAACTGGCAGTGAAACAATGTCATCAGGAAAAAGGAATGTTCTTATACTATCACCTAAACAAATAAATGAAGGAACAAGTTTTAAAAAGTATATTACAGAAATTTATAAATCTTATCAGGCACAAACCTCAATATGACCTGTTTAAAATGCATGGCTAAACCAAAACTTAGTTTCCATTCACTTATGGATAAAAAATACAATAAAAATTAAGCTTTGATTTGCCAAACTAAACTCTCTAAAATCTTTTAATAGAGTATTTTGTTATGTGGTCCCCTGTAAACAACCTGTGCAACTTGTCACAGAAGAAACATGTGGGGTTTACCAATTAACTTCCTCCCTTAGTCAGATAAGAGCTGGTTTTCATTCATTTCACACCCCCCATCACACAAGAACAAGTGAGGATGAAAAATTAAGTGAGCTTCAGAATGCTACGCAAATCGACATCTCTTAGTGTGGAGCTAGACACCTGTAATAGGCTTAGATTTGGCTTTTTCAATACTGAACTGCCTACCCTTGGTCTTGTGATACAAAACTGAAAACTTGGCTCATTCTCCAGTTTTACACTTCATAAGCTATTTGTAAACTGAGCTTTTAGTTTATTCTTCTCAACTGAACTCTGCTAATTTAGCACAGATTATGAGTAAAACCATCTGCCTACCCAGTTTCTAGAATGTCACTGAAAATATTTGATAAGTAGAGTTCCATATCCACTGCGGTCCTCACACCCTCCGCGCCCCCCACACCTCCCCAAGCAGGAGAGAACATTTTCCATTCTTACCTATCCGAATTATCATGAAATGAACTGCATCAGAACATCTATGAACAAGAGGAGCATACGAAGCATTGATAAAGTGACTAGATTAATGTTCTTTGAGTAGGACGTGTATTGAGGATAGTCTTTTAATTGCTCCTTACAAGTTAATGAACAAAGATGCAAGTGAGGCAACGTTACAGACTGACCTTGTTGATTTGAAAGAACGGCTGGAAAAAGAAAGCATCTGAAATTACATGGCCGAATGCAAATCACCAGTTTTTTTTACAATAAGATATGCACGTGAAGAAACTGTGAGTATTCCTTGGGAGAGGGTGTCTTGCAAGGTAATGCCTTGTACAGACTATGGAGGTTTTGACGCAATTTATTTCAAAATTTGGATTGGACATATTAACCAATTTTTATTTACAAAGACAGCAAGAATCTAGTAATGGTTTTAAATCGTATGTTGCTGGTGGACATTAGCTGTGCTCCAATAAATATGACAGGCAAATGTTTCAGTCTATCAGGTTATAAGGAACATCTTTGTAATGTGTACCTACGTAAATACTCCTATAAGCGTTTATTTAACAGTCTGTTCTATTCCCCATCATCTGCCTTCAAGGAGTCTAATAATTATTGGTAGAGAATGGATAAGTCTGGCAAAATTGGTTATCAGCTGCACTCTGTAACAGCAATAATGTTTTTAAAATTATCACCAGAAAGTTAACATCCCATTTTCAAATGTCAGTTAGCATTTGCTAAGGGTCTGATAAAAGAGGAACTAACATTGTACTATAAACTACCTTCCACAGCTACCATTGTTCGATTCGTCAGCATGATCAGTGATGGATATTTATATAAACAACAGGATTGTTCTGTAACTGAAGTGTGCATTACTATCTTTTTAGATCTGGATTCTTATTCCTATCTTTAAAAAAAATAAAAGACAACTGCAGTCTTCCATTTCTCGATCTTACTCCCAACCTTACACTGCTGTATCCTGGCTCTCTGTTGTGCAGTTATTTTCCTGACTGTTATAACATCAGTATAATGTTCAGTGGCAGCAACGTTATCCTCTTTTAATTATTTCTCACTGATACATTATCCTGTCCTTCACCTCTGCCACCCTTAGAAATAAAACCGCTGTGAATTTTGCATTCCAGTATCACCTGGTATGAAAGTAGAAGCAATAAACAAAATGGTAGTAAATTGCCATTCTGGTTTGAAATATTTTCAGTGTATATGCTATGTGGCTAACAGATACAAGGTAAGAAATGAAAATTCAAAACATTGATCTAAATAAAGCCCAATTTTTGTAACGTGGTACACAGTTGATGATTTGGTATGGCTTCCTTTTGGAATCATTGTAGGGTTCCTAGCCAATATTGTATGCATAATTTGAAACACACATGTTTAAAGATTCTCTTTTAAACAATGGGTGCCAGGAAATAATTTGACATCTCATTTGTAATGATAGCCAAACAGCATATGATAACCTTGCTTTATTGTGTGACATCACTTTATGCAGGAAATCACTGGAGCAGGCAATGGTCAGAAGTGGAGTGGTCTTTAGCAGATGGCTTGCAAGAATCCTCATTAAGCCTGAAGGAGGTGTAGATACTTAAGTTAACCCTTTGAGGACTACAGTGGCATTTCTGCAAAGTTATTAAAAGCAGGTTTCAGCTATTTATAAAATATAGTTCACACTGTTTTTACTTGATTTGATTGCAGTTAAGTTTTGTAATTTGTTACAATGTTCCAAAACCAATTTTAAAAGCTAAAGAAGGTATACATGTTACAAGTTATCATTGAAAACTGCGTCCTCAAAGGATTAAATACATTTGATAAACAGGTTTTTAGGGCACTATTTCCATTCAGCTTCCCATACCTGAGAAGTTTATACTTGGACACAAAGGCTTTAGTGCACTCCGGGTGTGAGCACGTGTAGGGCCTCTCTCCTGTGTGAGAGTAAGAATGGACTTTAAGTTTGTCAACACTGCTGAAGAATGCTCCGCAGATCAGGCACTCAAGGGTTCTCCTTGGCTTTGACTCCTTCCCTTTCCATTTGGCTTCTAACACCTTCTGCGCATCTTCCTTCTGTTTTGTAATTGTGATTTGACTTAGGTCATCAGTGGCAACAGTTGCCATTGCAGCCTTACAGGCCAAGTCCCTAGAAAAATGGGGCTTTACCCACCTTCTCGCTACCAAGTGTATTTCCTGTGTTTTCAGTCTGTGTATTATGATCACTTCCAGTTGATAGATACCTGTTGCATCCAGAGTTTAAGGTTGCTTCAGCAATTTGGGAGGAGTAGAGAAATCTTATGCCTAAAAGTCAAATTAAATACAAAGATTAACATTTCTAAACATGAAAATCATGATGTCTGTGAACCTTCATTTATTAATCACCATTGGACTAACTATACAAGATATTCAGCCTTCCATCTTATTTTCATGATCAAACACATCTCTGGTCAAAAACAATTTAATATACATAATTCTGATTGAAAATCACACAATATTAGCCCTCAAAACATACACTGCACATTTCTTAAGAGCAATCTACATGTAGCTTACTTTCACTCAACTCATCAGGAACATGGAGTAAAGGTTGAATTCAAGGCACACTGGTTTGAGAGCCAACGTACCGTTTCTAGATGTTATAGGCAATGATTTCCCTTACTTGCAATGAGTAAATCCATACCAAAATAGCAGGAAGAGAGCAACTAGATACCTCCCCACAAGGGGGGGGATGAAAGCTTGAGACAAGGAAAATAAGAAAGCAAGTCAATTTTGGCAGCCCTTTCTGTATTTCAGATAGGTTCATTGACGAAGTGACACCAGTAAAAGCTGATTATAGATTTCCATCTATATACGCCTTGGTTCAAAAGTGTTAAAAAACATGGAAGCCACTTAAAAAGAAAATGAAATAATGAAAACATAAGCAGCTAAGTGTACACAGGAAACCTTGACAAAGATGCCTATATTCTAATCTTTGAGAATTAAAATCTCAGATTCTTTCAGTTGTTAATGAAATGAAACTTTTGAAGTATTATTTTTGAAGGTGGACGAACTCTGCTGACGCAAATCTGAAGTTGTTGCAAAATAATGAATAAAAGGCACACTTCCACTGACAGAAAATTGTGGGATCAAACCTTCAGCCAACAGTCCATGCAACAAACCAGGACTTGAGGAAGGGCTTGTTTTCCAAACAGGTCTCCTTTTAAAAGGGCATAAGGCACTGTTGACACCAATGGTTTAAATGCCACGCTGCTATTCAAACAGCAGAAATTTCTCCAGGTAGTCTTACCAGCATTCTTCCCTCAAACGCCACCATCAAAACAAGTCAACTGGTCATTCATTTCATTGCTGTTCATGGCATATACTTACACTAATTGGCTACTGTGCTTACCTACACTATTCCTTTGAAGTGGATTAAGTATTCAGCGCAAAGAAAGCATTTTAAGATGTTTGAGATGTAACACGTTGTATAAGTGCATCTGTTTTCCTTGTAGTCTGAACAGAAATTTATGAACTTAGCTTAGCTTGGATTGCGTGCTGAAACAGGATTGTGTGGTTCTGTATGCAAAGTTAAATTTTTTTGATCCAAATTGTTCATTATAAAGCAATCACTCAAACAATGGACCTTACGCCAATTGCAAAATTATAGACTCACCAAAATGAGTTTATGTTTCTGCTATAACCACGAGCTGCAGGATTCTAGCAAATTCACTGCTGGTTTAAAGCTTGGAAAGACTTCAAAAAAAGGTAGGAATGCGAATTCAACCTTTTAAATTTTTTTTAAAAAAGGAAAAATGAATCCTTTTGTATTGCAACAACTTCCCAACTCCCCAAATCTGTTTTTACATAAACGCGAAGCGTTGCATTTTGGTAAGGCAAACTAGGGGAGGGCTTATACAGTTAACGGTAGTGCCCTGGGGAGTGGTACCAAACAAAGAGACCTAGAGGTGCAGGTTCATAGTTCCTTGAAAGTGGAGTCACAGGTAGACAGTGGTGAAGACGGTGTTTGGCATACTTACCTTCACTGGTCAGAACAATGAGTATACACAAATTAATTGTCATGTTGTTGGCTCTACAGGACATTGGTGAGGCCACTTTTAGAATACTGTACGATTCTGGTTGCCCTTCTATAGGAAGGATGTAATTAAACTTAAGAGGGTGCAGAAAGATTTACAAAGATGTTGTTGGAATTGGAGGGTTTCAATTATTGGGAGAGGCTGAACAGACTGGGGCTTTATTCCCTGGAGCATAGAAGCTGAGAGGAGACCTTACAGAGGTTTATAAAATTATAATGGGCACGGATAGGGTGAATAGTCAAGGTCTTTTTCCTAGGGTGGGGGAGTCCAAAACATCAGGGCATAGGTTTAAGGTGAGAAGGGAAAAGATTTAAAGCAAGGACCTGAGGGGTAACTTTTTCAGGCAGAGGATGGTGCATGCATGGAATGAGCTGCCAGAGGAAGTGGTGGAGACTGGTACTAACACAGCATTTAAAAAGGCATCTGGATGGGTATATGAATGGGAAGGATTTAGAGGGATATGGGCCAAATGCTGGGAAATGCGACTAGGCCAGTTTTGGGTTTCTGGTCAGCCAGGAGGAATTGAACCAAAGGGTCTGTTTCCATGCTGTATGACTCTTTCAATGACAATAAACTTGTTACAGAAGCAGCATCAACATTATTATGGAAGAACTGGCTGAGGTTACTGTGAAGGTCCCATCTTCTCCAACTCACCCCTTGCCTGAGGCACGGTGACTGTCAGGTTAAACGACCAACAGTCAGCTCTCTTTAATGAGAGGGCAGTGCTATGGTCCATTAAGACTATGATGACTTTGTCCTTACTGATCAATATGACAGGGGAAATAACCCATGCAGACAGGATTCTAGATAACAATACAAATCCTAACAGTTCATCGCTGGGTAAGAGCTCTCCATTGAATGTCTCCTATCCATCTGTTTTTGCAATTATCTGCCTAAAACATTTCCTAGTGTGTGCCATGCCTTAAAAATTGTTCGTAACATCCGTAATCTCTGGGCTGATAATTAACCAAGCATTTCAGTTGTTTTATAGTACACAAAGAAACTGATATCATTATGGTGTCAGAGGTAGCTGCCATTACAATGATTTAATAAATAATCAGCAGATCTGCTATGATATTGTTCATAAATAATCTGAAGTATAACTTGTATATTTTAGTTAATCTGACCTGCTCCTTTAAAGCCAGATACTCCTTGTTGGGAATCCAGGAACTCAAATTTTATAATTCAGATGAGATCAACTGGAAGTCAGTAAGGTTTTTTGGTACAAAGTTCTTGAGGAAGACCTCAAGCAACAAGCCAAATTTGTGCCACACAGTGCCAAGGAATGGCCTTTGACAGGAAGAGATAGAATCTTGCTATTTCTCTTTGATGTTCAATGGAATGACCATCAGTGAATCCGTCACCGGCAACAGCAACAGCAACCAGGAACTCAACTGCAGCAGGTCAGAGGCTGGGAATCTGAGGTGGATATTTCACTTAGTAACTCCCCAAGGCTTATGCACCCGATCTATAAAAGGTACATGTCACAAGTGTGACGGAATACTCTCCCTTGGCCAGGATGACAGAAATCCTTGGACATTCAAATCCTGACACTGCCAGGACAACACAGCCCCATTTGTTTGGCACGACATCGACCTTAAACATGAACTTGAACTCATCCAAAACTCCACTGCTCGAGCTCTGTTCATCTTTTCACCCCGTTCTCTTTCACCACCGATCTAGCAACCCCTGCATTTTAAATTTCTCATCCTTATTTTTACTAATTTCACTGCCTTAATAACTGATCCCTGTAACCAACAGACCCAGTACAATGCTTGGCCACTAACTTAAAACCCCTGCACAGTCTGTATAATTCAGCCCCTCGAGCATTCAACATCCCCATGGCATTATTCAAAATAAAAAGAGGAAGAGCTTTCCTTGGTATCCCAGTCAACATGCATTCCTCAGCCAACATCACTAATAAACAAATTATCCAGTCACAATGACATTGCTATTTGTTGGCCACGGCTGTGCGCATATTTGTTACCGTGTTTCTTCGATTTCAATGTTTCCAAAAACAGTGATTGCAAAATTAATGTCTTTCCTTTTTAAATTTTGGAACTTGGCCCATTCTTTTCTTTCAGAACCTTTAAAAATAGGTACACAGCACGTGTGGCAACCTGGTGAATGAAGACTGCTGCAGTTTCCAGCAAATGCTTCATGTTAAGTTTACAGCTGCCTTACCTTTTGGGACTTGGCTACAAGATATAGCTTTATACCCAAGGCCATTGTGGAATTTATCCTGGAGTATGCGTCTCAGAACATGCTGCAGATTACCGCTCTGGAAAGTATAGATTCCAGGTCATTCTTTGTGGTCCTATACAGCCAACTATTCCATGGCTGCTGGCATAAATCGCTATCAATGAATCTGTGTCTTTATCAAGGAAAAAGCAAAAGCTTCTGTCTAAGTGACTGTGTGCTTAATTTAACAAGATATTTTCTGAATTAATTACTATGCGGTGAGAGGATAATGATCAAACTTACAGTGCAGTGGAGGCGTCATGAAGTGGAGGGACACAGGTTGATATTCACCCCTGAACAATTATCCCGATCAGTCATAACTCTCTGGTCAAGTATCTGATCTGCACTTGACATCTACCAAAAGAGGTGGAATATGTTGCCAGGCCTCTGCTCTATACTTCTGAATAACCACTTATTAACTGGGAACAGCGGAGGCCTGGGAAACAATTGTACGCCTTCTCTCTCAGTCACAGGAGATGCATTTCCCAACGAGATCTGCATAGGGAAAAACACAGAGATTTCAATCTGCCCCATGCAAAGCAACTAACCATCTAATGCTTCATGACCAATTTCTCCATGTTTCCGATTTCCAGTTGCTTCAAAGTGCATAACAGAATTACGCCACATGCTCAAAATGCAGCAAGAACCTTCAATAAAGTTAACTAAATGAATAACAATTACTTAGGACTGGAAGTAGTGCCTGGATGACAAGGATTTCTGAAGAGTTTATGATTTGTCTCGGTTGGGTGCCAATATCACAGTCAAGGATACTATCGAGGAAGGCCAGACAGCAGAAGAGGTAACCATTCACTTCAAGACATCTTCCAGCTGGTGAGACACTTATTAGCAAATCTATACTGTCACAAAGCTTCAAGAGCCAACAAGATGCTGGAATTCTTGGATGTCAAAACATTATGAACATGAGAACAGAAAAAGCAAAAGTATACCCTCAAGTCTGCTCTGCCATTCAATCCTCTGCCTCAGTTTTAGATTTCTGCCCATTCCCTCAATTCCTTGAAAATTCAAAAAACATCAGTCATTGCCTTGCACGTACTCAATGATGAAGCATGCGTTTCCCAATTCTCTGAGTGAAGAGACTCCTCATCTCAACGGATCTTCAGAGTTACATGCAGCACAAATTAAAACTACTTGAACTGAAAATTAAACAAGTTATTTCAGGGACATTCGTGTATTTTTGTTAAATACAAATAAGTACATCATACTAACTGAAGAATTTACCTTTGGCATGACTTGCTCCACATGTATAATAATCTCCTTTGGTGCTGCCAAGACAATTCTTTTTCAGCCAGTTCCAACAATTCTTGTTGGAGGACACCAGGAAGTGTTGCTGCACATCTTTTTTACTGACCTGCACAGGAATAAAATCCCACTAATTAGAAACATTGAATCACCTTTTCAGTAAGCAGTGCTGTTTAGTGAACAAAACCCCTTTTTGTAATGTAGCACTGTCCAGTTCTATTTTGAAGTCCTCTCAGTTACAATGCCGATTACTTTACCCTGACAACACATACTCAATTCTAAGCAGATATGGACTCTTATCTTCAAGCAATATTTCTGGTGTGGAAACATTTTCACAGAACTTTTCAAATGATCTCTGTTTTAACAGGGAAACCCACAGTCATGTCCACAAGACTGAGGAATTTGGATTCAAAGATGATTCCTAATTGACATTAAAAATTGTGATCTCCAATATTATTCACTAAACTTTCTATAATCACAAGAATAATTGCCAGTGACCCAAATCCAGGCTTTCTTTGTAACTAATAACTAATACATATGTCTCATGATGAGGTATTGCAGTTCCCCCCATTGACTATTATAATATGCAAATTAAATAATATTGGATCTCACTTATCAGCTGAAGTCAGGTTGCAAAATTAAGCAAATTAACAGTGTAATATTGCAAACAATCCTTTAAGCATTTCATAAGTTTGTTGTTTCAAACCCCTGAGGGACAACCTAATGGGGACTTGGTTACAATCAGGTAATTCTGGTGATATTGTATAAACGCTCAAGCTGCATTCTAATCAAAATTTAACTTAATTTTGAATTTCATTTTCATAAACGCTGAAATGAACCACTGCTAATCAGTGCCTTTTCATGAATTTCTTTAAGGACGGTAACCAAATTTAAACAGGGCAGGCATTTGCTATTATGGAGTTTTGATTTATTTAAATTCAACTGCAATGTGCTTCTCAGTGTGACAATGCTGTTTTGCATGAAATGAATCAAAGCCTGAAAATAACTAGCTATTATGAAAATTAACTGCTGACAATATTATTTTGGGACACAAAGACTTTGCAAGGCGTTCAGCTTGTTTTAATAAGTGCAGGATTATTAAAAAAATATGTTTTTCATAATTTTGTATACAAACCACAATGCTTCCTATCTTCTAGCCATAATGTATAACCATGTCACTGGCACATTTAGCATGAAAACTTTTAAAAATCTTAACAAGACATTTCCGAAAGTTGTGCCAAGTACGCCAAATATATTTCCTGTTTCTGTTAATAGCACAAAATCCCCACTAGGTGGTAGGAGAAGCACTGAGCAAATAAAACAGTAATTTGACCACTGATCTCAGCTGAACTGTCACAGAAACTGAGTCCAAGACAGTTGTTAATCATATGTAAGATGAACTCAAATTTAAATGCATATTTATTATTTGGCAGTGTGTGTGCGTGCACACGTATGCGTGTGCGGTCTCTTGAGCATTCCCAATGTCATCACTCCACCATAGGAGCCATGCCTTCAGCTGCCAAAGCCCGAACCACTGGAATTCCCTCCAAACCCTTTCCAGCAATTTCTTTACCATTAAGATGCTGCTTGAAACCTACCTCTGATAAAGCACTTGGTCACCAGTTCCAAAGTCTCATATGGCTCAATGTCAATCCTGGCTTAATAAGTCTCAGTGGAACACCTTAGGATATTTTGTTTTGTTGCCAGCACTATATTATTACAATTTGATATTACATACAGCTACACATAGATATCCAAAATTCTGTTTTGAATGGTATGTTTGGTCATTATAGACAGTCTCTTCAATGCTACATTGTGGCAGCTGTAGGCTATATATAGTACATTGTAATATATTTAGCTGTATCTATGCAGTTGTGGTACATGTTGCCTGGACACAGCTATTGCATTGGAATTTATATATTTTGTTTTATTTAACCTATTTTTCTAATCAACTTGTTCAGAGATGCTATTGCACACCTCTGGAGCAGGTAGGGCTTGAACCGGGGCCCCTCGATCCTACTGTGTCACAGCCCAAGTTTAAAGTTTATGTTTTGCACGTTACATAATTGCTCCTTCCTATTTCTCACTTCCATGCTGCTCTTTGGTGACAACATTGGGAAACAAAGTTAATTTTTACCTATTCACACTGACAACACTAAAATCTAACGCACAATAGCTCTCTCAGCTCCTCCACTGTTATCAAGGGCTGAAGATCACCAGAAATTAATTAAGAACAAAAACAAAATTGCTGGAAAAGCTCAGCAGGTCTAGCAGCATCTGTAAAGGAAAAAACAGTTAACGTTTCAGGTCCTGTTCTGAGGAAGGGTCACCAGACCCGAAACATTAACTCTGTTTTTTCCTTCACAGATGCCGCCAGACCTGCTGAGCTTTTCCAGCAACTTTGTTCCGGATTAACAGCATCCGCAGTTGTTTCGGGTTAACTGTTGATTTGATGACTTTCATTGAGGTTTCTCTTAGTGACCGCTAGCAAGTTCTCTCCATGGCAGCCCTCTCAGCAACAGTGGAAGCACTCACTGCTGTTGGGACTTCCTGGGATCACCAGAGCCATTTTTAAACTCCAGCCATATGCAAGAACAAGTGCTGCCAGTCAGGAACTGCCCTTCACGATACACATAGTGGAGGCAATTTTTAAAAATATCATCTCTGGGGACATATACGCGGCACAATCGACACTTCATTGCAAATCCAATTGCATAACTGTACACAAAGAAAAGCTGCATTGGCTTCTGGGAACAGATTGGAACTAATGGATTATAAATTTGTTGTTTGAAAGCCAATGAGTGATCACTGCAGCCAGCTCAAATCTATTGGAAATACTTGTCCATTAAGCCCTGTCTGTCTTGTTGTGCCTTATGTTGCAGCACTCTATCAAGCAGAAGGTGATGCTTCACCTCACTCAATGTCATCATCCTCCTCCTCAGGAAAATGCTGCAGCTCGCCCAGCTCTTCAGAATCCATCACATCTCTTCATTACTCGCTCCAGTTGTGTTGGACTCAGCATTCAACGTGTACCATAAGGCTCCCCCAGACTACTTCAAATCAGGGGATTACATTAGAATCATCAATCATGGTTACAAAGGGCAGTCCTCGTCTCTCAATAAATATACTTGAAAGACATCCAGCCCTTGAAACATAGCAGGAACACAAGAGTTCACAAGAATATAGGCATGATGGCATCTCCCAGGGTACCTGCTGCAAATTTGGAGTGGTACCAATGATCACAGATAACATGTGCATTGATTAAATGAAATCCTTTTCTGTTGATAAAGTGAACGATGCTCTAGACTTGACATGTGTACAACTTATGAAGCCCTGCACCTGGGAGAATCCAGCTATACTTCCAAAGCCCACTTTGCAGGCTGCAATATTTATCTCATCACAGGAAAATCAGTTAAAATTGAGAGATCTGGCACTAATTGCATTAGTTAACTGCTTTGATACATTTCTGAATCCTAGTTTGAGAGTTCCCATAAAGGTCCCCAGTGGATCCTTGAATGCAGGGAGTTTTACAAAGGTTTAGAGCAGCTGTCACCATGATGACCACTCACTTCTTCAGGTAACAGGTCCCACTCCAGCAGTTGGTATAATTCAATGACAGTGTCCTGGGACATCTCAGTCTGCAGCAACACAACACCTCGTTCATCTGGAGGAAGTGACACCAAGAACAATAGACCCTGGGCCTCCTGTACCCAATCCTCATTCGGCTGCGACTCCCTATTGTGGAGGCTGTTTGGCAGCCACAGGAGGTTGCTGCTGATCCTGGGCTTGCTAATACATCTGTTCCTCTTCAAATTCTCTTTGCCTTCATTACACCAGAGTAACAGCAACAATGTCCCCTGCTGTGGCTGGATGCATTGGTCATGAATCCAATGAACCAGTATGGAGAATATCAGATATGGAACAAGTCCTGAGCAGTCAGCACTCACATCACACACAAATGATGATTTAGCACAGTCCTCCAAACAGACAGAATGGAAGCCTCTAACAAGCAAGGCCACGAAATGCCTCTACAAGGAACTTTGCCAATGAGTGCAGCACAAATCATGTCACACAAATAAAGTAGGTGATTATAAATGCTGTAAGATCACTAATGCCTTGGTCCCCCACCACGAGCAATCACATTAAGTAGCATTGCTTATTACAGCATGTTGGCAAATACTTCCAGTTCAAGGCGAGAGGAAGTCAGTTGCACTCCTTGTGCAGCCTATGGGATCTTGGATTGTCTTTGAGAATTGTGGACTGTGGGCAACACTTTTAGAATGACGTGTGATTACTTCAGCTTCACGTTGACTATGATCAACTTGCAACGACCAACGACATGGTCAGGATTATTTGTGACTAGGGTTTTTAGCGCACACTGTTGGACATAGAATGCATTTCACATGCAGAGTGCTATGATTACAGATGACTTCAACCTGTACTTTCAAAGTGCATGAACAATACTACTGCCCCTTGAAGGGCCTCACATTGTTCAAGTAGAGCCTGTGTGCTCTGGCATCCAGAAAAATTTGCTTCACCCACTTTGAGTATGGTCACAGCCACTGTCCATTTCCATTGCATATTTGCATTTCATGTGAGTGTGGAGGACAATGCAGGGTCAGGTTTGGCAGAGTCAGTTGCAGGCTCAGCTCAGTAATCAAAGGGGCCCTCTGAACCTCCATGTTCCTTTCTTCCTTGCAGTCCCTGTTGCGCCCAATACAATGCTTTCACACATTCCACACACCCATTTGAATGGTAACTTCAGCTCCCAACATTGCACCGAGCCCCAGATGTACAGTTTAGTCATAAGTCAACCACACTCATTCGAAGTCCTTCAATATACTATTGTTTCCCCATGCCCGTACATGATCTGGTTTCTCCCTTTAATTATTGTACCCTTCTGTATCCCAGCATGCTGCCTTCAATTTCCAGAATTAACTTACCACACCAGTGACCCCTGCTAACCCCCTAGATGTTCATTCAGTAAACCCCTCCCCCCTCAAGAATTGACTGTCCACCCCATCCACCCTCTATTGACTTGGACGGGCAGCTCCAATTCATGACTGACTAGGCCCCAGATTGATATCTGTGACCTGAGTGACGTCCCAT